GGGGAGGAGGGAGAGGATGATGATGATGATGATGATGATGATGATGATGATGATCATGATGATGCTGATGATGACGGTGATGATGATGCTGATGCTGCTGATGATGCTGATGATGCTGCTGCTGCTGAGGCTGAGGCTGATGCTGATGATGATGATGATGATGATGATGATGATGATGATGATGATGATGATGATGATGACTCATGGTGATTCATGATGGTTCATGATGATGATGAGGAGGAGGAGGATGAGGAGAAGGAGGAGGGGGTGACGAGGACCAGTGCAAACCCGAGATCCATCAACGAAGTTGGAATCCATGTTCCCGCAAAGCTCCCTCTCCAAATGACCTTACAAGGGTTCATATCCAGTGGGAGAAGTACCCTGTGGGAGACAACTGTTTGTCGGAACTTTAACTCCACGAATCAGCCTTACCGTTGCGTCTTGACGATCCTTCGTCGTGCCAGATCACAGTTCTTGGGGCTCCAACACCGCGAACCAACGTAACTGCTGTGCCCTGACAATCCTGGAGGAAGACGAGGAGAAGGAGCAAAGTGAACCCAGGTTGCGCCAGCGATGCTGCAATACGCCCTCCCGTCCCAAGTTCCGTCCTCATGAGTCCGTGTTGTTTCTTTTTCCCGCTACGGGGGTCACACCCTTGAACCAGCGAGAGCCTCGGTTTGAAAAGTCACCGCCCTCCATATGTGTAGGTGCTGCGCCGTGCCAGGGCGCGCGTTGCAGACCACCATCTCGTATTGTATTCAGCCTCGAACTCAGATCCCCGCCGTTGCACATGTGAGAGCCACTTCGAGTCGGCGAACGCACTGGATGGTTTGGCCCTTGCAACGCGCTGCAGTTTTCGAGCGCACGGCTCCGCGCAAAGCCGGCGGCGCCCCGCCCCCCCACCCCTCCTGTCCGCAGCGATGATGCCGCCGACGCGGCCTGCTGCCGTGGTCCCGACCCGACCGTTTGCAGCCATGTGGTCAGCGTTTCAGGGCCGCCCGCGCGCACTTCTCGGGGACGCCCCAGGGTGTCGCGTTCATGCTCGTGCATTTTTTAATACAGCAGCACACCTCAGTCTTGCAGCACACCTCAGTCTTGCACGTCGGGCCGTACATGCTGAGGCAGTGCTGCAAAGTGCATGAGTCTAAGCTGAGTGGTGGAGACCAAGTGGTGCACGCTGCGCGGTGTCAGTAAAGTAGTGAGGCGTAGACACAGTCGTGTAAGCAAGGTGCTGCAACCAATATGGTGCATGCAGCGCGAGGCGACCACGGCCGCCCGCCAGGCGAACCCTCGGCCGGTGCAGGCCAGCGCACGTGGGCGCCTGCGAGGCGCCCACGGCCGCCCACCAGGCGGCACTTCCGCGCACCCGCCCAGCTCACAGGGCGCCCACGAGGCGCCCACGGTCGCCTACCAGGCGAAGCCTCGGCCGGCACGAAACCTCGGCACACGAATCCAAGTACTTCAGGGCAATCAGTAGGACCCCCTCGGTACAGGCGCTGATGGGAGAAAGCGGTGCGGAATTCTCGGGCGAAACGCCCTGCCGCCTTGCCGACACGGCTTGTGGTGGTGCGACGGGGTGAGTTCTCAAGAAGGAAGGGGGGATGGACGTACGGGTCGGACAGGGGGAGGGAAAGGAGGTGGAGGCGGAGGAGGATCAAGAAGAGGAGGAGGAGGACGGGGAGGAGGAGGTTCAGGTTCAGGATGAGGTTGAGATTTCAGGATGAAGATGAAGATTGGGATGAGACGTCAGGATGATGATGACGGTGATGATGCTGATGATGATGACGATGTTGATGCGGTGATGCTGGTGATGATGATTGTGATGGTAATGTTGATGGTGATGCGGATGATGCTGCTGCTGCTGCTGCTGATGATGATGATGATGATGATGGTGACGATGACCTTGATGCTGATTGCAAAGGCAATGATGTGGATGACCATGCTGATACTGCTGCTGATGATGATGATGATGATGATGTCGATGATGATAGTAATAATGCTGATGATGATCATGGCGATGCTGACGACTGTGATGATGGTGAAGACGATGATATGATGATGGTTTTATTGATGCTGTTGCTGGTATTATTGATGATGATGCTGATGGTGATGCTGATGATGACGATGTCGACGATGACGATTATGATGATGATGATGATGATGATGATGATGATGATGATGATGACGATGATGCTGTTAATGATGATGCTGATGATGACACTGCTTATGATGATGGCGATGCGGATGATGACACTGGTGATGATGATGATGATGATGATGATTATGATGATGATGATGATGATGATGATGGTGATGCTGATGATGATGATGATGATGATGATGATGATGATGGTACTGGTGTGATGATCGTACTGATGGTGGTGATATCGATGCTGATGCTGATGCTTGTGATGCTTCTGCTGATGATGATGATCATGATGAGGATTACGACTGTGATGATGGTGAAGACGATGATCTGATGATGGTGTTATTGAGGCTGTTGCTGGTATTATTGAAGATGATGCTGATTGCTGCGGTGGTTGTGATGATGCTGCTGCTGAGGACGATGCTGCTCCTGATGATGATGCTGATTCTGGTGGTGATGATGATGGTGGTGGTGATGATGAGGACGATCATGCTGATGCTGATGCTAATGATGATGATGATGATGATGATGCTGATGCTGATGATGATGATTATGATGATGATGATCATGATGATGACGATGTCGATGACGATGACGATGATGATGAGGATGATGCTGTTAGTCATGATGCTGATGATGGCAATGCTGATGATGATGATGATGAGGGTGACACTGATGACACTGGTGATGATGATCATACGGATGGTGATGATGCTGCTGATGCTGATAATTGTGATGATGCTGATGATGATTATCATGATGCTGCTGATGATTATGATGATGCTGCTGATGATGATGATGATGATGGTGGCTGTGATGCTCATGATGATGCGGATGCTGCTGATAATAGTGCTGCTGCTGATGATGGTGATGGTGATGGTGATGGCGATGGTGATGGTGATGATGATCATTATGATGAGTATGCTGATGGTGATGATGCTGATGACGATGACGATGATGATGACGATGACGATGATGATGATGATGATTATGATGATGATGATGATGATGATGGTGATGCTGATGGGGATGCTGATGATGATGGTGCTGATGATGATGATGATGATCATGACGATGAGGCTGATGATGATGATGATGATGATGATGATGATGATGATGATGGCGGTGGTGGTGGAGGTCGTATTGGTGACGATGATGATGCTGATTATGATGATGCTGATGATGATGGTGATGATGATGATGATGATGATGATGATGATGATGGTGATGATGCTGCTGATGATGATGGTGATGATGATGCGGATGGTGATGATGATGATCATGATGATGGTATTGGTGGTGATGATGTTGATAATGTTGATGCTGATGATGGTGATGATGATGATGACGATGATGATGGAGCTGCTGCTGATGATGACGATGATGATGCTGATGATGATGATGGTGGTGATGATGAGGATCATGATGATGATGATGATGATGATGATGATGATGATGATGATGATGATGATGATGATCATGATGATGAGGCTGATGATGATGATGATGCTGATGATGATGATGATGATGATGATGATGATGATGATGATGATGATGATGATGATGATGATGATGATGATGATGATGATGATGATGATGATGATGAGGAGGAGGAGGAAGAGGATGATTCGGATGGTGAGGATGATGCTGCTGAGAAGAGGAGCTGCAGCTGTCGCAGCATCAGCGGCGGCGGCTCTGGGGCCACTTGCGTCAGCGCGGGAAGGATGAGGAGCACATCGTTCGCTCCCTCCTGCTCCTCCTCCCTCTCCTCCAGCGGCGCGTGCGAGTCTCTCTGGCGGCCGGAGCTCGTTGAACGGGAGCCAGCAGACACTTGCGTCGCCCCTGAAACAGGGCGGCTCCCTCGAGGGTGGCTTGTTGTCTTGGGCAGCGGCCACTCTCAGGGGGGAGGGGTCTGCCAGCCAGGGCGTCTAGACTAGGCATACAGGGGAGCACCGCGGAGACCAGGTCGACAATGCCGTCCGCCGCGAGCATTCCCGAGTGCCCGCCAGCCTCGGGTCCTTCTGCTCGCAGTGCCGTGCCGTCCAGCCTGCCAGCCCGCATTAGGCTTCAGCGCCCCCGCCCAGCTCGGCGCCGCCAGCTCAACGAGCCGACTCTGGCCCTGCTGCTGCGGCTGATGTTGCTCCTCCTCCTGTCCTGGCCTCCTCCTCCTCCTCCTCCTCCATCTTCTCCTCGCTCCTCCTGATTCTCCTCCCCCTCCTCCCCCTCCTCCTCCTCCTCCTCCTCCCCCTCCTCGCTCTTCCTTCCTCCTCATTCAGTCGAGGGTGGTGCCGAAGCGATTGGCAGGAGCGCCGGATCTCTTGTGTACCAGTTTCCGGTACTGCAGACATGGCGAAGGTTCTCTGAGCCTGCAGGTCCGCCTCATAATTTCTGGACTCCTCGCCTTCTCCCTCCCCCTTCTCCCCCTCGTCCCCTTCCTTCCAACTCACTCGTGGGAATGTCCCAGGGGTCGGCACTTATACATGTGTGGGGTTGGGTGCACGTTTCTCATGTCGTAGTTTATGATGACTCCCTCAGTTGATGGTTCAGCAGTGGTTGCGGGTAGTATAGTAATGAGTCGTCGACTCATGAGTTGAAGGAGCCTTGTTCACGGCAATCTTCTGCCAATCGGAAGGCACACCTTCGGATAATTGGCCAGGGGTCAGCTCGGACTCGCCGCCAACAGACAACAAAGGCGGCGATGAGGAGGTACTTTGTTTCAAGATAACGTTGTGATGGCGCCCGCTCCACTCTACTCCTCCTTCGTCCTCGCCCCCCTCCCCCTGTTCTTTCTGCCCGCGCTCCTGCCCCCTGCCTGCTGGGGGGGCGAGCGGAGGCAGGGAGCTGCTGCGCCCAGGTCGGACCCGTTCCACTCGTGCCTGTGCAAGAGGTGGGAGAAGACCTTTAAGACCGCCGACCCGCGCCGCGCACGCCACCGCACGGGGTTCAGAGGCAACGTTCGGGGGGGACAGGCTTACAGTCGGGAGCTTTCGGACAGCGTGCCACTACGCCCGTTCTGGCCCACCACGCTTCGGCGCGACGCGCTATCCACGTCCCTGTCCCGAAGCGTCAACGCTCAAGCTTCTACCGACCTCCCGCCCCGCGGAGCCGAGCGACGCGCCATCCGCTTGCGAGGCATAGCGTTTCGCCGGGGCCGCCGCCGCGACACGCTGAGCAAGAGTTCCCGACCGTAGGGGGGGGCGCATCGACCCCGACTCGCCCATTCATCGCCGACAGGGCCCCCACAGCCCACCCCGCCCGCGACCACGCGCATTGCTACAATCGGGGGCCTGTCGCGGATCAGTCGGCGATGTATCGCCGATTGCAGGTCGATGTTTCCCCCCCCGGGCTGGTCCCCCCCTGACGTTCCCCCCTCATGGGGGGAGAGCGTACTCTATCTTCGCGATGTGCAGACCCCGCGCCCAGGAGCCAGGTTTCGAAGATTCGCCCATGGGCTTCGTGGGTGCCGTCTCGCTCGACGGATCATGGTGCAGTCTTCGTTCTCCTGCCCACGGCGTGGAGGTCTCAAGTCTGCTGTGGCCGACGCGCGTATCAATCATGATGTCCAGCTGTACTGACTGCACGCGTTCATCACGAGCTGTCTATAGAGATCGGGTGTGTCTTGAGTGCGTGCAGTCATTGGTAGTTAACCCGTGGTAGTCAATCAAGGCTACCTGCTCCCTCATTTGTGGGCAGCACATGCACGGTGTAGCCACCTTTTTCCAAACAGCTGCCGCTACATACGATCGAGTTCACGTGATTCGAATGCTGAGCTAAGCCAACATACGTACACAGGTCAGTGTGGATGCGCCTCTTAACGTTGATCTTTCTCACGTGCAACCACTCATGGCAGCCAGCATGCTATTTCGCTGCAGTTCTTGGGTGCCGATTCTGTAGAAGACGGTGAGCGCTGCTGTCCTCTGCGGCGATCGCTTCTCAAGCTGCTCTTCGGCATGGCATGCCCGGCATCGCACTGGAAGGAGCAAAGACAACCGAAGCGGCAGGTGCGTGCGTGGCGAGGCGCGCCTCTGGCCCCGAGTGCACGGCATCTGCTCGTCTTCCCCTGTCTGGCAGTGCCGCTGCGACCTCGAACCGCCGCGCAGCTTGGGCCCAATCCCCCCCCGCCATCCCGCCCGAGCCTCCCCCCGTGCCTTTGCCGCCCTCGCCGTCCTCGTCTCCGCTTCTGCCGATCTGCCCCTCTCTGCCTCTCGACCTCCTGTCCCTCCGCCTCCCTGTGCCCCTCCATGTCTGAGTCTCTCCGTCTCTCCGTCTCCTCCGTCCCGCTGCTCCAGTGCTTCAGCACATCGGCCTCTCCTCCTTCTCCCCCTCCCCCTCCTCCTCCTTCTCCTCCTCCTCCTCCTCCTCCTCCTCCTCCTCCTCCTCCTCCTCCTCCATTCTTTTTCCTTATAAATAACCTGTCCCTGTCGCACCCCGAGGCCAGTTTTTTGGGCGGGCCGGGCGTTTCGCTTGAGACTTCCTCACCATTTATGATTCTGAAATTTAAAATTACCCCAGTGCGACCCTACCTAGCAGTTGGAGCCCCTAGGAAAGCAGCATTAGTTGCTATGCTATGCTATGCTATGCTATACCATGCTACGCTGCGCTATGCTATGCTATGGTATGCTATGCTATGCTGCGCTATGCTATGCTATGTTATGCTAAGCTATGCGATGTCATGCTGCGCTGTGCTAAGCTATGCAATGCTATGCTGCGCTATTCTATGCTATACTGGGCTATGCTATGATCTGCTGTGCTGCGCTATGCTATGCTATGCTATGCTATGCTATGCTATGCTTCGCGGTGCTATGCTGTGCTGTGCTGTGCTGCGCTGTGCTATGCTATGCTATGCTATGCTGCGCTATGCTATGCTGTGCTGGGCTATGCTATGATCTGCTGTGCTGCGCCATGTAATGCTATGCTATGCTGTGGTCTGTTATGCAAAAACTCAGCGAAGCTAAGATGAAGCTAAACTAAGCTAAGACAAACCTGAGCTAATATGAAGCTAAGCTAAGCTAATATGACATAAACTAAGCCAAGATGAGATAAGCAACGCTAAGCTAAGGGGACGTAACTGAGGGGAACCGCGGGGCGGATACCGGATACCGCGGAACCGCGGGGCCCTTTAAGCACATAGAGTAAGAACCCTTCTAGGCAGAGCCTAGGTAGGGAATAATTGGCAACAGTTTAGGAAAACCCGTTTTCAATATGTGGTTCTCGGCTTAGCGCCGCGCACATTCGTTTTAAATATGTGCAAGAGTTTCACGGATTGAGGACGGCTCCTTTTCAACATGTGGCTCTCGCCTTCGCGCCGCGCACATTCGTTCATACAATTTGCAAGGGTTCACGGGTTCCCACGATCAACGTACCAGAAATGTTGTTGTGGAAGGATTCAGGATTTTGCGGGTGCAGCAGTTCCGTTCGTTGACGGTGATGAAATCCCAAGAATCGCGTTCTGGCACGACCCAGGATCGTCAAGACGCAACAGTCAGGTTGATCCGTGGCGTTGGAATCCCGAGAACAATGTTTTGGTATGCTTCCTGGTTTTCAAACGGTTGTTTTCCAACGCGGCAGATCCCTCAATGGAGCTGAACCGTTGCAGGGGCCTGCGACGAGGGAGCTTGGAGGGAGGGTGTGCTCCAACATCGTTGATGGCCCTTGGGTCTACACTGGTCCTCCTTCCGGTGCAGAGGCCGAACCCTTGGTTTCGCGAGGGGGACGGCGGTGGCGCGGTGCTGCACCTCGGGCAGCGGCTGCGGCGCGCGGGGCCCGCCATCTTCTGCGAGGTCTGCGACGCATGGATGCAGACCCGAGCGGCGAGGGGGCTGCAGAAGGCGTGCTGCGGGCCGCCCACCGGCAAGGGACACCACCAGCGCACCTACGTCAGCAACCTGGCGGCCAGGAGGGACAGGCTGCTGCGTGATCTGGACCCCAAGACGGGCAGGTCATGGGCTACGGGTACGCTGGTGCACGACGAGCGCAGTTCGGTCGACGACAGCTCCGAGGAGGGCACCGAGACAGTCGTGGCCCATGGCTATGTGGAGGCCCCGCTGGCGGACGTGCAGGGGACCGCGACACGCGGGTCTCCCGCAGCGCCGTGTGGCGGGCGCACGGATGAGGCCCAGAAGGCGGGTGCGCAGGAGACCGCGACACGCGGGGCTCCCGCAGAGCTGCGAGGCGGGCGCACGAAGGAGGCCCCGCTGGCGGACGTGCAGGGGACCGCGACACGCGGGGCTCCTGTACCGCCGAGAGGCGGGCGCACGGAGGCCACCCGCCTGCTTGCGGAGGTTGCGGCGCACCGCGCGTTTGCGCGACGCCAGCGCCGTCCTGGCAGGAACGGTTGGAGGTGCTGCGGCGGCGCGTTGCGACTCGCGAGGCTGGCCTGGCGGGCGTTGCCGTTGCTGGGGCTGGCAGCGCTCCCACGGCGCAGGGCGTGGAGGCGTTGACCGACACGGGGTGCGCTGTTGGTGACCGCGCCGACTCATGGGCAGTGCGGAGGCAGGCACTGCTGCGGCGGCTCCAGGCGCAGGCCGAGCGGCTCTGTGGCGGCGCTGGGGCGGCCCCCAGGGAGGCGCCTGCGGGCTTTGCCGCGCGGCTGCGGCGGCGCGGCATCCCCGTGGCGCGACCGCCGCCCAGGGAGGCCCTGCCGCAACGGCCGCCGCGGCCGCTGGCCTTGGAGCGCAGGCTGGACCGCTGGGGGCGGTGGTGGATCGAGCCGCTGCTCGACGCCGACGGTGCGGCCAGCGATTGGCTCGACCACTGCGTCCCGTACGCAGAGGCGGTCCTCGCCCAGCCCAGGTGGCGGCGCTTCCTCAGGGTGCTGGACAGCACGGCCCAGCAGCTGGCGGAGGCGTGGTGCCGCCGCGCATGGCGCCGCGGAGCGAGGCTGCGCGGTGCCTACACCAGGGATCGCTCGGGCCTCACGCTGAGCCAGCGGTGCGTCACTGACAGCACGCGGAGGTACGAGGTGTACTGCCTCCGCAGCTGGCTGGCGGCGCCTGCGGGCCTGCCGCCCGCGTTGGGCTGGGCTCGGGCGGTGCGCCGCAGGCCGCGGCCTGGGGCGGCGGCGCCTTGCGAGGGCCAGGGCCGCCTCAGCGTTCAGGCGGCGCCGCAGGGGCACAGCGGCGGCGAGGGCAGCGACACGGGCGAGGGCGTTGCCTGAGCGCGCCCTGTCGCTGTCCCTCTGCGCGCCCAGCGGCGGCGGCGGCGCGTTGCGCTGGCCGCCGGCCGCATCCCCCAGCCGCGGCGGCGAGGGTGGCTAGGCGGCGGCCGCCATGTCAGCGGCGCGGTCCACCTCGCGCAGGTCGTGCGGCGCCGCGGCGCAGGCGGTGACGCGGTCGTCGTGTCTTTCGGTCTGGCCTTCGACCTCATCAGAGGTCCCCCGAGGCGCTGTTTGCTAGTCAGACGGCACCCTCAGGCTCCTGTTCTCCTGTTCTCCTGTTCTCCTGTTCTCCTGATCTCCGGTTCTCCTGTTCTCCTCCCTCTCCTTCTCCTCCTCCTCCCTCCTCCTCCTCCTCCTCCTCCTCCTCCTCCTCTCCTCCTCCTCCTCCTCCTCTCCCCTCCGTGTCTGCCGTTCCTCCCCGTCCGTTTCGTGCTCGTCTCTGCTCTCGTTGCGCGTTGAGATTGCCTTGACCTGCCTCCCTCCCCCCCCCGTTTCCTCCCCGCCCTGCCTCCCTCTCCCCCCTCCCTCATCATCATCACATCATCCTCTCCTCCTCCTCCTCCTCCTCCTCCTCCCTCCTCTCCTCCTCTCCTCCTCCTCTTCTCCTTTCCCCCCGTCCCCTTTCTCCGCCGCCGACCAGACCTTCTGAGGGTACTGGCGCTCCACCTTCTCCGCCTCCCCCCTCCTCCTCCCTCCTCCTCCTCCTCCTCCTCCTTCTCCTTTCTCCTTCTCCTTCCCTTCCCTTCCTCCTCCCTGCTGCTGCTCCTCCTCCTCCTCCACTTCCTCCTCTTCCTCCCCTCCTGCCTCCTCCTCCTCCTCCTCCTCCTCCTCCTCCTCCTCCTCCTCCTCTCGCTCCTCCTCCTCCTCTCTCCTCCTCCTCCTCCTCCTCCTCCTCCCTCCTCCTCCTCCTCCTCCTCCTCCTCCTCCTCCTCCTCCTCCTCCTCCTCCTCCTCCTCCTCCTCCTCCTCCTCCTCCTCCTCCTCCTCCTCCTCCTCCTCCTCCCCCTCCATCCCTCTCCCTTGAACGCAACTCCTCATTGTCGCACCCCGAGACGGGTCGGTATGGCGGGCCGTGCATTGCGCTTGGGAGTTCCGCACCCAGAGTGTTCCTGAAGCTTGCAACTTGCATCATTTTGACGGATGGAGGGCGCGTCGTTTGCAAAATGTGGTTTGCGCCCGAGCGCCGCGCTCATTCGTCTTAGAGGTTTGGAAGAGTTTCACGGATGGAGCGCGGGCCGTTTTCACAATCTCAAAGCCGCGAAATTTTGTCTTACCAGTGTGTGTGTGTGTGTGTGTGTGTGGACGGCGGCCTGTTTTCAAAATGTGGCTACCCTTCGCGCCGCGTGCAGTCGTCGTACTATTTTACAGCAGTTTCTAGGATTCTTATGGTCGACGTTCCAGCAGCTGTGCTCCTTGCGCGACTTAGGCTTGCCAGGGCGCGGCAGTCACGTTGACCTGAGATGTTGAAGTCCCAGGAATGGCGCTCTGGCGCAATTCAGCATCGTCCGGACGCAACAGTATCGTTGATTTTCGGCGACCACACTTTTGTGGTTTCGTTCGAAGGAAGCCTCTGCAGGCAAGTAGTTGAGGTAGTTTGGATTCTTAGGGTCGCTTTGGTGGCGGCCACAATTCTGAGCCAGGAAAAAAACAGTGTCGTTGATTTGCGGCGTCGAAGCTCCAGGAATGGTGCCTTGGCATGATTGCAGAATGTCAGAAGGCTGTCTTCAAATGAGACACTCCCCGCAGTGAGAACGCATCCTTGCAGGGACTCCTGGAGAGAAACTCGGAGTGCGGGTCTATTGCGACGCCGTTGATGGGTCTTGGATTTACGCTGGTCCTCCTCCTCCTCATCCTCCTCATCCTCCCCCTTTTCTGTCTCCTCTAACCCCCCTGTCACATCGTGCTGTTCCTCCGTTGATGGGTCTTGGATTTACGCTGGTCCTCCTCCTCCTTTTTGACGCTGCGCGAACTTCGGGCCGATGCCTGGAGCGAAACCCTCCTCCTCCGCCTCCGCCTCTTTCGGGGGTGGACAGAACCCCCAACAGTGACACGTCGATTAGTGAATTGTCCGTTTTCGGTTTTCGAGCGGGCGCCGCGGCCGTTCTTTTCCAGGCTTGCGCCCGCCAGGTCTGGACCTCAGGTCGTTTCCACTAAACCACGCTTTGCTGAAGGGGGGTCTGTCCACCCCCGACTCTTCCGCCTCCTCCTCCCCCTTCTCCCCCTGCCTCTCGGAGCTGGCCTCCTCTCGTGCACGCCGGCGCATGTTCGGCGGCTGGTGCAGCTGGCGCGGCGCCCTGGCGGGCCGCAGGAGAGGCCTCTGGCCGACCGCTGCCCCGGCCGACCTCTGCCGCCCCCAGGGCTTGCTTCGATGCCTCCGAGTCGATTCGATCGACTCGTTTTCGATGGCCTCCGATTTCGATCCGATTCGGCCCGGGATTCCGATTGGGGCTCCGATTTCTCAGTGTAGGCATGCTAGCCTGCCGGTGTCCGCCAATTCGACTGCTCCCGACTCGGCTGCCGATTTCCGCCGATCCGATCCGTGTCGATTGCCGATCCGGCTTGTCGATTCGATTCTGGGCTCTCCTGCACCATTTGCCGGCCAGGCCTTCCTGGCTCACCGCCCGCCCCGAGGCTGTCCCGCGCGCTGCTCGAGGACGGGGGCAATGCTTCGTAGAGCTTCCCAAAGCGCGAAGCAGCCAAAGCTGGAGTAATAACTCGTAGAGCTGGCTGTCCCGCGCGCTGCTCGAGGACGGGGGCAATGATTCGTAGAGCTTCCCAAAGCGCGAAGCAGCCACTGCTGGAGTCATAACTCGTAGAGCTCAGGCGGGAGCCTGAGCCAAGGAATTCGGGGGCAGGGTGGTGCCAGCTGGCCGGCCCGGCCAGAACGGACAATGTGTCCCGAGGGCCGGGCCAGACGAAAGGGTAGGGCAGGGACAAGGGGGGGGTGACGAAATATCCGCTGCACGCAGCTGATTTCGGCCCCGCCGCCGGGCCCATTCCTCGAAGCATGGGCGCCTCCCGGCGCCAGAAGGCGCCAGGAGAACCAGCTCAGTAAGGCGATTCTCGACCCTACCCTTTGCCATCCTACCCGTTCGTCCCCCCCGGCTTCCTGGCTCACCCCTGCGGGCGCGAAGGGGGGGGGGGGACTCGCGCTCACACCAGTCGACGGCGAGCCCAAGGGGAAGCTGGAGGGGGCAGGTCTTCTCAGAACGCGGCGGGGCTTCTCAGAAGCTCTTGCGCCTTCCGAGAGGTTTTCTGTGTCTTCGGAGGGGGCGTAGAAACCCGGACCTCCGACGCATTGATTGTTTCACGACGTCAGCCCCCAGTGGTCTCGACCCATTCCCCGGGAATCGTTTTTCGTCCTGAGCGTTTTTTTTGACAGCCCCGAGACCCAGTAAAGATCCCCGCAGAAAGAGAGAGAGAGAGAGAGACAATCATGAAAAACCTCTCGCCGTGTTTTCTTCATGACCCGGTAGGGGGTCTGGGAAAGCTTCTCAGGAGGCCCAGGGCCTTCCGAGCCTGCTGCGAGGGCCCGCCCACGCGGGCCTCCCCGCCGGGCTCGCCGCCGAGCCGGGGTCCGAAGAGCGGAGCTTCCTCCCAGGAGGGGGGGCAGCGCGAGAGCAGGAGGACTGCTCGCGCCTCGCGCGGAGCCGCGCTCTCCCAAAATCTAGACCTCCCAGACAGGGTCCGAGTGGACGGGGTCGGGGGCCCGCGCCGCATCGGCGATGCATCGGCAATGCATCGGCGATGCGGCTCGACGCGGAGCCCGATTTTCTCCACGCCGACGTCGCCGATGCACCGCCGATGTCGCCAGTGCCCCTATCGAGGAGGCCTCTGTATAAGCATCCCAAGGATGTCCCGAGAGGCCCCAACATCTTTGAACAACCACTGGCCTTACACGATTCTGGCTTCGACTAAGGGAGGTGGGTCCTTCGTCAGGGTTGTCCCTCTTGAGCCCCTGAAGCAGTTTCTTGGAACGCTCTCGGGACGCTCTTGGGGCCGTCTAGGCGCCCTCTTGGGCTCCTCTTGGGGCTCTCTTGGGCCCTCTTGGGGCTCTCTTAGGCCTCAAGAGCCCATCGACAGCGAAACGGCGAGAAGGTAGACAAAACGTTGTTCCCCTTTGGTGTTGGATGGAATGTGGCCTATCGGGCGCGTTCTTGGCAGGCTCCGTGGCCACTTGATGCCGTATTGGAGCGGTCTTGGGGCTTTTTGGAGGCATCTTGGAGGCCATTCGAAGCCATCTCGGATGTCTGAAGCTATCTTGGAGGCCATCTTGAGCAGTATGCGGCCCTCCTGGAGCCATCTTGGACAATCTTGGACGCTCCAACGACCCGCGACTCCGCCCGTGCAGACCCAGGGGGGAGGGGGCAGGGGGGGGGGGTCAAGCTACCCCCCCTCAGGACGGCCGTCTCGCTCACTCCCGCCCGCTCCCCCACCACAAATAAGTAGCACCCGAGTCCCAGCACGGGCAAGGGCCGCCATCGACTATCGTCGGGAAGCAACGCAGACGCCAGCCATTTGCGCGACGCCCGGGAGGTGCTCCGCGCGTGCCAGGGCACCCCCATCATCCCTTTCAAGCAACATTGCAAAAGTTATCGCTGGGCGCTTGCGCATGATTCCGGAGAGAAAAGAAACACAGACAAAATTAGCCGTCGACTATCAGGAAACTACAGGAAAATATGGGAAGTCGGGGGGAAGACCAAAACCCAGAAAATTTGTAAATATGGGGCATCCTGGGATTTGTGTGTATTTATTTGTGTGTCTCTGGGCCTCTGATGATCAAGCTTTCGCCGCATCGTGTATTTCGCGCTGTTGCTCGACAGCGGCGATGGGCCTGCGCGCAGCAGCCACTCTGCCGCCCCCCCACCTCCTTCCTGTGAAGAGACACTGTGAAGATGCCCGCGCACGGCCCAGACTTTGCCAAAGTGCACTGTATTGTGTGTTGGCAGGGACGATGGGGGTTACCGCCATGGTTACAGTGACAAGCCCCCCCCGAGAAGAAGGGGGTTTGAATAGGAAGCGCCTCAGACTACCTGCGCGCCCGGAGTGCTGGGGGGAGGAAGAACTGGAGGTGGAGGCGTGAGCTGGCGCGGGGAACGAGTGGTTGGGGGTGGTGGGGGAGGGAGGCCGCTCGGGGCAGCTCACTCTCCGGTCTGCACCGCCGAGTTCTCGCCAGCCGTCTGCGGATTCTGCAATCCGCTCCGCTCCGCTCCCCGACCCTCCGCAGCCGGCACCGCGGGCGCCTTTGCGCGCGTGTTGTGCGCTGGGCGAAGGGCGGCCCGAGCGCCTCGGTGCTCGATGGCTGGTTCCCGTCCACCAGCCACAGAGGCCCACGACGTCCAGCAGGCCTCGCAGGGAGCGCTTCAGAAGGGCAAATGCCCGCGAGGCGAGTCTCACAAATTTTTGTGCAGGCCACCATGCGCTGCCGGGCGGGCAGGTGGTGGTGGTGGTGGAGAGCAGCAGCAGCAGGTGGGAGGAGAATCATCACCATCAGCTTCATCATCATCATACTCGTCATCGGCGTCATACTCCCCACCGTCGTCCTCAACATCGTCATGGTCATCTGTATCGTCGTTGTCATCGTCCTCGTCATCAGCGCCACCACCATGATCATGATCATCATGATCATCATCATCATCATCATCATCATCATCATCATCATCATCATCATCATCATCATCATCATCATCATCATCATCATCGTCATCATCGTCATCATCGTCATCATCAGCATCAGCATCATCATCAGCATCAGCATCAGCATCAGCATCATCATCGTCATCATCAGCAGCAGCATCAACATCATCATCGTCGTCGTCATCATCATCGTTGTCGTCGACGTCGTCATCATCATCATCATCATCATTACTATCACCATCATCGTCATGATTAACATCATCATCGTCATCATCAGCATTGTCATAATCCGCATCATCCGATCCTCATCATCATCACCATCATCATCCTGATCATCGTCGTCGTCATCGTCATCGTCATTGTCATCGCCATCACCATCACCATCACCCTCACCATCACCATGATCACCATCATCATAATCAGCATCATCATCATCGTCGTCATCGTCGTCATCGTTATTGTCATCGTCATGATTATCGCCATCGTCATCGTCATCGTCGGCATCATCGTTTGCCCGATAGCTGTCCTCGCGTCGTTACGCCAGTCAGTTTTGCCGACCAGTCGTTGGTGGTTTCGTGGAATCAGTGCTGGACCATTGAAAAGTGCCGCAAAACATTGCACCGCACACGGTATAGTATGATTGTGCACCACAGCTTGCGTCGCATATATTGTTTGCACCGCATGGCTTGCACAACATGGCTTGCACCACATGCACTCCGCCACACACGCACACACAGCTATATATAGATATGTATGCATGCATGTATGTATGTGTGGATGGATGGATGGATGGATGTATGTGTGTACGTATGTATGCATGCATGCATGCATGCATGCATGCATGCATGTATGTATGTATGTATGTATGTGTGTATGTATGTATATATATATATATATGTATGTATGTATGTATGTATGTATGTATGTATGTATGTATGTATGTATGTATGTATATCTATGCACAGAGGTATTGCGCCACAGCGATTTCGCCACATAGGGCTTTGCGCGCAGCACTGCGCGAACGGGCTAACATGTTCATATTCACGAACCTCGCTTTTTTGAATTCTGTGGCGTCGGTAGCAGGCGGATGAGAAGGGGGAGGAGAGCGATGAGGAGTGGGAGGAAGGGGAGGAGCTGGCGCACGAGGATACAGTCAGGACGTCGAAAGAAGGACCGCTTTGGGCTCAGGAGAGGCTTGGTTTTCGGGCCGTTCCTTAGATTTATGTCGTGGAACCGGTTTGTTGGCTAGGCCCGCCGTGACCAGACAAAGCCCCTCCGTTCCTTATCATGCATGCCCTATGGCAGCACTACGACTGTAAGCAGCAGGAGCAAGATAAGCAGAAAGAGGAGCAGGATGATGAGAATGAGGTTGGAGGCGGCCAGGGAGTCTGAACTGGTTGGGACCTCAGAAAGTTGGTTAAGACGGGGGGATGGTTCCAAATCCGCTTCAGATCAATCTCCGGACCCCTCACGGGGTCCGTCTGGTGCAGTTTTTCACCCCGGATCCGTTTTTCTCTTTCCTGGGGCCCGACGACGGTCCCCGGAGGTCGAACAAGGCAAACACCTTTCCGAACCCAGAGCCCAGAACCTGCCCGCCCCTCCTGCTGGCTGGAACCAGTGCTGGGCCACCTCAGACCCCCAGACGGCTCCAACCTCCTCCTCCTATTCCTCCTCCTGCTCCTGCTCCTCCTCCTGCTCCTCCTGCTCCTCCTCCTGCTCCTCAAATCCCCAGACGGCTCCTAGAAGGAGGACCAGCTGCAAGAGCAGCACCAGCAGGAGCAGAAGGTGGGGCGGCGAGGTCGCTGGCGCTTTCCTGCCCCTCTGGCGCCGCGGCCGCCGCCTCTCGCCGCGTCCATCGTCGCCGCCGCCGCCGCCGCTGCCGCCGCCGCCGCCGTCGCCGTCGCCTCCGCTGCGGTCGCCGCCGCGGTCGTCGTCGCCATTGTCGTCGCCGTTGAGGTTTTCCGATGCAAAAAGCGCTCAGAAATCGGTTCCCAGAGCCTCCAGGTTGAGGCCCACTCTGGCCAGTGGGTCGATCGAGCCGCGCCCAGCCGTGGCGACGGGAACCCCCAGAGAGGCCCGAAAGCCTCCCAAACGAAGGCGTGGACGGCGTTGTCGCTGTCGCCGTCGCCTTTGCCGCCGTCGTCGCCGTCGCCGCCAGCGGCGGCAACGAACGGCGACGCTAACGGCGGCGGCGGCGAACGGCGAGGAGCGCCGCGCCGCTGGCGGCCGCGGCCGCGGCCGCCGCGCTCCGCGGCGCCCCGGGCGGCGGTGCTGGGGCGGAGCGCGGCCCGCGAAGGTCCGCCGCTGTCGCCGCCACCGTCGTCGCCGCCGCCACCGTCGCCGCCGCCGCGGCCGCCGTCGTCGTCGTCGCCGCCGCCGCCGTCGTCATCGTCATCGTCGACGCCGCCGCCGTGGCCGTCACCGTCGCCGTCGCCGTCGGCCGAGCGATCGGTCAAAGTCGATCGATCGAGATTCGGTCGAGGCTTCTGGGGCGCTTTCTGTTCCTCCCCCCGCTTCTTGGTCTTCTGCAAGTCCCCTTTGACCTCAGGGGATTTTTGGGTT